GTAATTATTAATCAGTTCATATATTTTTTAATTTACAATATATTTTCTAAATGCTTCTCTAAATCTTAGGTATAGTTTTTCTCAAAACCGTAAAAAAGTCAGAACATCTTTTCGTTTTTGAAACAATTAAAATGTCTCACTCTTCTGAAGTTTACAAGTGTGAATAAAAGTCAAAATGCTTCTTATAGTTTATAAACCTTAGGTTGTATATTTTGTTTTTCTTCTGTGAATTGCCTGTTTATTTTCTTGGTGGATTTTCTATTAGGATATTTGTCTTTTTTTATATCGATTTGTAAGATCTTTTTTATGTTAAGGATATTGTTATTTGGTCATTTGAGTTTGAAGATAATTTTTTTTTGTCTGTTGAAACTCTGACTTTGGTTATGGTATTTTGAGCTATTCAGAAATTTAGTGATTTAATGTAGTCAAATTGATCAGTCTTTTGTGCTGAGTTTTATGATGTCATAACCTTACTACCAATATTAGAAAAATATACATTCTTGATTTCTTCTATTAATTTTATTCTTTTGCATTTAAATATTAAACTGAAATATGTTTTGATGCGAAGAGTGAAGTAAGGATCAGCTTTTATCTTTTTTAAAATCTAGTTTTTAGTGCAGGAAGAACTGGGGGGAGGATGTGTCTATATCTTGATTTCGTTTGTGATTTCAAGGATGTATATATCTGTCAAAACTTAAAGGATTGTAAACTTTAAATGAGTGTAATTTATTATACATGAATTACACTTCAGTAAAACTGATATTTTTTAAAAAGCCAATTGTTCATAATCTCACTGATATAATTTTTAATACCACTGCTTCGAAATGCCACTCATCAAATCAGAATTCTCATATTTTGAGGGTTTTTTCCCCCTGAATTTCCATTCTATCAGACTGATTTTTATTCATTTGTATCAGTACCAAACTTTTTAATTATTACTATTACATTTTAATATTGGATAGTCTAGTCTCTATTACTCTTTAAAAATAGTGGCTGTTCTCCTATATTTGTTCTCTAGAAATTTGGAATTATTTTTTAAAGTTCTAGGAGAAAAATATCTTTGTTATTTTGCTATAAAATCAAATCTTTAGATTTTTGGATGTATTAGCGTATTTATAATTTGAATTTTCTGGTCTAGAAATAAACTACTTATATAAACCTACCTTTCCCTTGTAGAATTTTATATTTTACTTCATACAGGTTTATATATCTTATATTCTCACCTATTTTAAGGCTGTGGTCAATAGTTTTTGTTCCTGTCATATTTCCCCTCATAATATTTGTCTTTATAAAACATTTCATATTTTAAAATAACCAACTACTTCATTAAACTTTATGTTCTGTGGGTATTCTGCTGATTCTTTTTGGATTTTCAGATATATGATTATATTATCTGCAAATAATTTTGCTCCTTCCTTTCCAGTATCTATATCTCTTATATCATGCTCATGTCAAATTTCTTAAGCTAGCAGTAGTGGCCATCCTTGCCTTAATCTTGAATTTAATGGGGATACCTCTAGTGTTTCATTTTTATAGATGCCAAAAATAGCAATAAATCAGGAATGTATGTAAAATTATATTAACTGTTTAGGTGTAATCTATTTAGACTATTTTTTCTCCCTTTGACTTGTTATTAAGTGAATAACAGTAATAGGTTTCTTGACATGAATCTCATTTGGCCATGTTGTATTAATCTTTAAGTGTAAATACTGTGTTTTATTTGTTAATATTTTATTAAGTATTTGCATCAATAATTTTAGGTGTGACTAGTCTGTACTTTTTTTTGGTATGCCTTGTTCTATTTTTGCATGAGTAGATGCTATCATCTTAAAATAATCAGGGACATTTCCTTCTTTTTTTACTTTCTGTAACAGTTTAAATAGCACCAGAAATATCTGTTTCTTAAAGCTTGAAAGCATCATCATCAGAAATGTTCTGGGCTTAATTTCTTGTATGGTATCTGTTTTCTGTGGGTTCTATCTCTTTTTGAGATAATTTTGACATTTATATGCTTTTTGAAAATCATTCAGGTTTTCAAATTTATTAACATAGAGATTTACAAAAATAGTATTTATATTTTTGGTATCTCACATATGTATGGGTTTTCCCCATCCTTTTGTATGAGTATATTCTTAATTATAATATAGACTTATCTATTAAATTTATTTTAAAGGCATCATCCAGTGCATTGGTATGTTTACCATATATATTTTTCTATTTTTAATTCAACTATTTTGCTTTTACATTTATTAATGAATTTCATTAATGAAATTCATTAAATTTATTAATGAATTTACTTTACTTTTCTTAAGTTTTATTATTATTTGTTGCTCTTCAAAATAACAGTCTACATGTCCTCAATATGGAAAATTTGAAAATTTACAACCATATATTCAAATGAATTAAATTTTCATGTATATTTGGCTTAGATACTGTAAGAGAAAGGATGTCTAAGTAAATGCATTATTATGATTCTGTAGAGTTTTCTTGGTAACTATATATAATATAAAGATTAAAATCATGGTAAATCAGTTTAAAAAGTCAAAGTAAAATATTTGTTTTATGTATGGTCAAAAATATTTTGATCAACTTCTCTTAACATACTATAAATAAATATAAAGTAGATCACATTTTTTCTCACCTTCTATTTCTATTTTTATTTTTTTTAAATTATCATTTTAAGAATATTATTGTCCTATAAACATTTGCATTTTAATAGAGAACTTTTAGATTTACAATGTCTTAACCCCATAAAATTGGCGGTAGGAAGACTGCTAGTATTTGAATTAAACGTGTAGACAACTTTCTTTAAATGTCAAAACAGCTCCAGGGACAATACACAAATATGTATGAACTTCTTCAAAATCGAATTTTTTAAAAGCATTTTACAAAACCACATAAAACTGTCTTGTATTTATTTGTAGGCTGGTGGAATGAAGGCAGGAACATTTGAACCTTATCCTTCACATTCTGCTGACCCTTATGTGGTTAAATTGGCAAGCCAGGCTACCAGCAAAGGTGCTAAGGTATTCCACCCACCAGGTGGACCGAAAAGCAGACCAGTTCAAAGTATAATGACTTTGAATGTCAAAAGGTAATAATATGTTACATTTAGCTCTTAAATCAAGAAAAATTGTTTTTAATGTTTAGATTTCTTCAAAATAATATCCTTTATTTATATGTACCTTTAAAAATGACAAATTTGGGTGACTAGAAATCTCGGCTCCTTCTAATATACCCGCCCTCCCTTACAGAAGTTCTTGCCCATCTTCTGAAATTCCCAATTGGAAAAGCTGAATTTATCTGTACCATAATTTTTAAGTAAATCTACAGCACTTTATTATAAGTCATTTGAGACTATTTAGATATTTATAGTTCAGTCAGCAGTACATGTTAACTTTGTCTGTTTCTCAAAGAGAGTTTTGACTCTTGTTAAAGGGCTCTAGGCTCTTAGTAATTAAGAGGAATCCTAATGACACTTAAGATTTCTGTCCTTAATTTTGAAATAATCTTTTATGAAAACAGGAAATATTCTTATTAATTAAAAATGCTATTAACATCACTTTATAGTACTTTGAGGAAAATTATATTATTAAACTATCTTAAAACTTCAGTTTTACCCAGGTTTTGGACTGTCTCAAAACTGAAAAGAAGCTCTCAAGAGCTCAGAACATAAATTAGAAAAGGACAGCCCATCATATTTTTGTGTGTGCATGCAATATTGTAAACAAGTGGAAGAATTTATTTGATTACCTTTCTATCTACCGAAGGAGTTTTAATGCCAATTGAACTAATTTACATATTTCTAACTTCAGTGTAATCATACAGTGGATTAGGCAAAGACACCAAATTCACATTCTTTTATAAAAACAGTAGTACATTTTTATCACTTGTGGACAGTGATTATACCAACATTATTATTATATCACAAAAGTAAGACTACCCCTTATTATTTATGTAATTTAACTATTGTCTACAGGAATAATAATCTGAGGGTGGTTTTCTATGCATTCTTTTCTAGTGTAGAACAGACCTGAGAAAGTTCTATGATGCCCTAGCATATCTGTTTGTACAAAGAAAAGAAAAAGTAACTGATTGCTCTTTTGAAAAATCAGATTAGTAATTTCGAGTTTACTGAAATCTCTTCCTTTTTACATTATCACAAATATTATTCTAAATCAAGTTTTAACTCCCCTTACCCTAATTTTAAAACTAATAAGCTTCTGGGTGGTAATATTTAAAATTGGCCCCATAAACCAACTTTTCCTTCTTAAATTATACTTTTATTTTTTTTAAAGTGTATATGACATATAAAGTGAAGCTTTTTAATTTGGTGTGAAAATATAGTTTTGGATTGTTAACTTTTTATTGTAAAATGTTTTTATGAGAATGTACAAATGTATTACTTGCACCTATAAAATTAGATGATCATTTATTTTTTAATTTTAGGACACTAAATATGAAGAACTACAAGACTGCTTCAGTACAGTCCTATTAGCATCTGGAAGACAAATGGCTTTCTAGATCCTGACTACCATTAATTCATTATCAACTGCTAATTATTTGAAAAATATAAGATGTTATGGAACAGATAGGTCAAGCATTTAAAAGAAATTTACTACTACTAACCTAATACTCTACCTTGTTTTAGTACTATTACTTAAGGAATAAACAGTGTTTAACATATAATTACTGATCTGTGTTTCTGAGGAGAACATGATGTTTAGAAATTTTATAAAATCTTGAAGTGTAGTCTGTCATTTGAGAGCTTTTACTCAATGTAAACAGATTGCTGCAAGGTTGGTGGATGTGGGGGCTGGAGGGGTAGAAAGTACAGAGTAACTTCTTAAACTGCTAGTTCTTCTTGGAGGTATTTGAAAATTGGATTGATAGCCATCCGAGTGTCATATCCTGTTAAAGCATTCTTAGCATCAAAGATAAATATTGATTCATTCATATTGCACAGATTCATGTATACACATTCTATAGTGAGGCAAATGTCTCAATTTATGAGGTATTATGCCTTCTATATATGGCTTCTTTAAAGCATTAGATTAGCTAAGGCAGCCCCAGGATGAGTTGGGGGAAGGGAGAATGGGGAACGCACTCTTAGTTAAGTACTTTATAAAATATTACAAAGTTACATGGTAAATGAAGTTCGTCCTTGGTAGCCTCTCCTGCTTCTCTGTAGCTGTTCAAAGCTGCCTCTCCTGGAGCATCTCCCCTAAGTCTTCTTACTCTCTTGTTCCCAAGTTCACTCTTCACTTACCCTACCACTTTTAAAAATATTTGTTAAAATATACAATTTAAATATATTACTGTAATTCATAGTGAGGACTCTATCATCAGTCCTCATTCAGTTTGGGCAGGAGGTGGTTGAGCTTGTGTTAAAAAGAGAAATTTATAATGTTTATTAATATAATGTATTGGGGAAGTTATTTTGATTCAGATGCTTTCTTTGGACTTGTCCCTCTGCCATTCTAGTCTTCTCAGAGCTGGAAATCTGAATGTATAGAGGCTGCAGTACTTTTCTTTTGGACCTGTTTTTTTTTCCCAGTGGGGGAAACTATGTCAATCCAGATATACATCTGGCTTTTAAAGGGATTACAGATAGCACAGAGAATTTTTACTATTGTCAAACTCACACACATACATATATGTGTGTATATATATATTTTTTATTTTCATGCCTCAATTGTTTACTTTTTTCTAAGAGAAATTTAAAATTCTTATTTCTTATCCAAAGGATAGTGTGGAATGAACATCTTAAAGACATTATCAAGGGTGTACTTTAACTCAAAGGGGAATACGTTATTTTCACAATAGGAATGGTTTTACCAGGGGTGCATAACTGAGTAAAATTCATATAGTTACACATCGATAAATGTTACCCAACAAGACTTATATATGCCCTCTTCTGAGATAAGAGGTTTGTATTTTCAGATTTTATTAAAATCTACATAATTGCTCATTTTTACCTCTGCCTTTTGTTAGCTATAATTAATTTTTATTACTGGGCCTCTCGTAGCAGTGCATACTTCACATAATATTCATAGATGGGAATACACATCTAATGTCTTACCGAAGAGTATAAAAAGTAGTATGACAACTGGCAGAGCTTAGCTAGAGTTTACATAAAAGCACTGTGTCAATTTACAGAAAAGGAAATACAGAAACCAGTAATAGGAGTAATGAAGCATGTAGAAAAATTATAATTTTTGAAATGTTCAGTAATAGAGGAACACACATTTGATTTTAGGATTGCAAACTATGATGTCCATTGATTGTTTTCTTACAACAATTGTCTCTTCTTTTAATTTTGAAAATACAACAATACGACATTAGGTAGTTTTCTGTGAAACAACTCCCCTCCTACACCCTTCCCCCTGGCAGAGACATGAGGAGTTAAAAGTTAATGGACACTGGAATCTTCTCTTGACAACTCAGGCATCTGGTTATCTACTGTCCCATTATGATGCCTGTGTGACTTGAGTAGTTTTCTGTATCCACCACCGGTAAATAATGGAAGGAATAAGCTTGCTTAGCAGCTGTTAAGCTCTGATAAGAACAATCCAACAATATCTATTAAAGGTTCAAAATTGAAACAAAGATTGAAGAGGTTAACCTGATCATGAAAGAGAGGCTTAACTTTAAGAGCGACTAGATCAACAGGAAACTCCAACAGGAACTGGAAGAAAGTTAAACAGTAGCCTATCATATTTTTGGAAATTTTGTCTTGCTTCTTCAGAGACTGCCTGCTCCTTTGTATGTTAATGTTCTGGAATGTGCTTTAAGCTAGGCTCACTAACTTTATAATATTTTATACTAGCTGTGTAAATTGAAGCAGATCTCTTAAGCCCTTGAGACCCTTTCCGGAAGAATGAAGATTAAATTAAAAATGTTTCATAAGATGAAAAAATTATATATAAAACATAAAAAAACCTTCCGTCAAATCAAGTAATTTGTTCTAAATAAGGTGTAAGGTAATTTGTTAATTTGAATTTTCATCAATTATAACAGTATTTTAGCATGGTACTTTGTTTAAAATGTCAAAAATAATTAATAGCTAGTACTTACACAGTGTTTACTTATCAGGTTTCATTCCATATGGCTTATGTGTTAATATGTTTATATTTACTAATCAGTTAATGAAGAAACGGAGGCAGAGCAAAGTTAAGTGACTGATCCAAGGTAGCACAACCAACAGAGGCCAGGGAGTCTGGCTGCTTTTAACCACCTATTACATTTTGTTCCCAGGCCACTTCCCCAGTTTTCCACAGAAACAATGATCCTTCTTAAACGGCTTCAAGTTACATTATTCATTTCACTCTGCAGCCCTTATTAAAATTAGAGAGCTCTGCTCACCTATGGGAAATTAGGTATAGAGCACAAGTTAGTTGACACGAAGAAAGACTTTCCAATTTATTCCTCCCTATACTTATCAAGGGGCACAAGTTAGAAGCTGTGGGAGATAGGTAGAGAAACATATTATTCCCAAAGTTATACATATTTTGAAAAATCTTCATAATGCAATATGTAATCTTTACATTTCAGTTAGGAACCTCAGTATCATCTTGTCTAAACTCCTTGATGCTTAAAACTCTTCACAACATTTCTACCAAGTGAATGTCCGTCCAGTCTGTGCCTGGCATTCTCTAATGTGATGACCACCTCTTCATTCAGCATTCATGTAACAAATATTGATTGCCTTCTGTGTGCCAGACATGGTCCTAGGCACTGGGATGCAGGTGTAAAAATAGATAAAAATAGATAAAAATCTCTGCCATACATTTGTTTAGGAAGACAGATGATAACATCGAGTAAAGACAAGTGCTCTCAAGAAAATAACGCAGGGTAAGGAGATAGAGAACAATGGGAGTGTGTTTGAACTATTTTTTAAAAAGATGGTTAGGAAAAGATTGAGGAAGCAACATAAGAGAGACCTGAATGAAATGAGGGAGAAGATAGTTGTTCCAGCAAAAGAAATAGCAAATGCAAAGACCTTGAGGCAAGTGTGATCTTAGAGTGTTTATGAAACACCCAAAAGCCCAAGGTGGGTACAGCAAATTGAGAAACGTAAAGGATGTTCGCAGACTGGAGAAATACACAGGAGCTAAATCCTGAGGGTCTGTAGGTTATGGTAAGAAGTTTTGTTCTGAGTGTTATGAGAAGTCATTGAAAGTTTAGAGGACAGGCATGTCATATTAATAAGTAACATTTAACAAGATTTCTTGGTTGATATTTGGAGTATTGATTGATTAGACCAGGGTGATGGCAGGTTGTGGTAATCTTAGAAAACAGTTTGGAAAATGTTTCTGATATAGAACTGAAATCTGACTCCTTAAAGTTTTTACTCATTAGTTCTTTTTCTACTACTTAGAGATATATAGGAAATACACCAATGCTTCTACAAAGGACAACTCTTCACATATTTGAAGGTAACTTTTCTTTTTCTGGTTGTTTATTTCTTATGCTTTTCAGCTCCTTCACCATTCAGTCCTTTCTTACAGAGTGATAATATGTCTCTTTTTAAAAGGATGAGGCTTAGATTGAATGTACTATTTCTTATATGGTCTGATCATCCCAGACTATATAAGAATTGTTATTTCCTTTTTAAATATATTATATTCTTATTAATGCAATTTAAGTTCTTTGCAAGCTCTCTTCAGACTTCTGTTTTCAACTATTTATAAACCATATCTCCAGCTTAAAACATTTTCCTGAATCAGATTTCTATTTATAATGTCTTTTATTTTTGAAAATACCACCTAGATAGCTCAAATGTCATGCATCAAAATGGAATCTATCATTTTCCTCCTTAAATTAGCTCTTCATTAATTATTCCCTCTCTCAGTTAATGATACTTCCAAATATCAAGTAACTTAAAACTACTTTTGAAATTATTCAGAAATCATCTTTTACCATCAAATCCACTATTTCACTAACTTAAAAACCCTTTAGTGTGGATTCCCGTTGTCCTTAAGATAAAAGCAAAATTCATACCAAGGTTAAAGACTCTTTAAGATTTGGTTCCTTTTTCTTTTTTAAACTCCATTTCTTATTAACCTCTGAACCTCTTGCTCTTTTCATTGTACCTAGGGTAGATTTTTTTTTTTTTACTTTTTAAAATGAGACACATTCTGTCCTTTGCCTGGGGTGGATTTATCAATTTTCTATAGCTTGGAAACTTTCCCAGCATCTATCTTCATCTAGGTTACTAACTCCAACTTGAAGTCTTTCAGATCTCTTCTAAAGCATCCTTCCTTAAGGAAGGCCTTCATGATCTTTGAGACGAGGTTAGGGCCCCCTGTTATGCATTCAAATAGCACCCTCTAAGTTTGCATTTATAGTATTTATTAATGCTCATATTGTCTATGAGATTCTAAGTACTATAAGACCATATCTATTTTGTCTATGACTGTTAGCACCTAGCATAGTGCTTGACACATTATGTAGGCACTTAGTATTTGCTGATTGAATGAATAAATTGTACTGTGGTGGCCATATTTAGTCATCTTTCACCATCACCTTGAATTATCTGTAATTCTTTGAAAGTGTCATGTTATTTTGAGCTATTTATTATGATGTGCTGTTTTCCTTTCCTGGCATACCCTACTCCTTTCAATGTCTTGCTCACTCCCCAGTTACTACTCAAAACTGAGCTCAATACATTAAAACAAACAAACAAACAAACAAACAAACAAACAAAGACCAAAGCTAAATAATATGATGGAAAACTTATAGTTCTATATGTTTATGTTAATATTTGAAAAAGATTGAAAAAAAAAAAGATAGTTAATTCAAAAAGAGAGAAAAACAACAAACCAGTTGAAAAGTAGATTGAATAGCTTAGAATCAGTGTTTTTGAAAAGTCCACCTAGCAAAAAGAGAGAGGTGAGAGAATACAGACTATGTTATGAATTCTATAACATATTTAAGGAAGAGATAGTATCAGTAATACCAATCCTACACTAATCCTTTCAGAAAAATAGAGGAGGAGGGACTACTTCCCAACACATTTTATGAGGCTAGATTTTCCTCATACCAAAACCAGATAAAGACATTAAAAGAAATAAAATATAAAGACCAATATCCTTCTGAACATAGAATAAATCCTTAACAAAATATTATTGTATTGAACCTAGGAGTATATATTAAAAGGATAATTACATGACCTATTGGAGTTTATTCCAGCAAAGCAAGGCTGGTATAATGTTTCAAAATTAATCAAAATAATTACCATATTAGCAGATAAAGAGGGGAAAAACACGCGTGATCACCTCAATAAATGCAGAAAAAGCCTTTGATAAAATTTTACGTTTAATTATATAGCAAGCAGTCTTGGAAGATGCAGATAGTGTCTTCCTCTGGAGCAAAGGGCAGGTTTGTTTTCAGCCTTGGAAGCTAGAGATAGTGTCTCCTCTGGAGTAAGGACAGGTATGCTAACTGTCCTTTATGATAAAGGTAATGTTTCCACCTAGAGCAAAGAGCATGCTTACTGAACTTATAAAAGATTTGAGTTCTCTGTCTGAGTTCTCTCCTATAATGTAACTGACTGTGTGGCCCTTTTCATGTTGCCTGTAGGAATTGAGGCTTAGAGAACTGATGCAAAAATGCTAATACTCTGGCTACTGCTGTTGCTGTAACAAACTGTCCTTTATTTCTGACCCAAGAGCCTCATTTCTTCCACCCCAACCCCCCATGACACTGTCAGGCTAACATATTAGCTTATAAGTTGAGTAAAAACTCAGACTGTTCACAGTTCTTGACAATAAAAAACTATATACCTAATTCCAATTTCTAATTAAAAAAAAACCTAGTCTAATCAATCACAGGGTAATTGTAGTCATATATAAAAGCAAATTTAAAATTATTTTCTGGGTAAAAAAGCACTTGGACAAAGGATTTCAAAACATTAATTTTAGAGATTTATTTACATATCTTAGATGGAAGCAATTGATACATTTTACCTGGAATTCCTGGAAAAAAAAGAAGAATTGTTTTAAAATGAGAGCGCTAAGTATACTTCAGAAAAAAATAATAATTAAAAAAACACCTACTCCCTCTCAAAGTTGCTTCATGCATATACAATGTGTAGAAGTAATATAAATAAAATGACATGAATTTTATCAAAACAGCAAAATCCCTAAAAAATTCCATTACGTACTAACTGTATACAAATCTTACAAAACTAAATCTTGTTCATCTTAAAAGTTTTCTTTATGCTGTCTTCTGACTAGTGCCCAGTAGGCTAAAAGAATCTTAAATACATCTCTACTAATCTACCACAATATACATACCTTTCAAATCAGAAGCTAAATGCCTATTCCTGGGGCTAGAGGTATCTTCATAAGTATCACAGTTGTCATAATGGAATTTCTCTCTTCTTGAAATGTAACCAATTTTTGATAGGTCACTGTGCTGACTACAGATTTTTTCACTTAGATTTAAATATTCTCTTTGAAGATTCCGCATCTCAAATTCCAAGGTATCCCTTTCATTCTCTATACTTCTTACATAGTTTTCTAAAAGTATTTTGTCTTCTGCAAGTCTGCTGATGCTGTTTTCAAATTTTATATTTTCCTGACTATGTTTTTTTAGTTCTTCTTTTAGAATCTGATTATCTGTTTTAATTTCCATTAACATTTTTGATAACAGTTCACATTCATTGCTCATTTCAGATAGACTATTCTTATAAATACTTGCTTCTGATTTTGCATTTTTTATTTCTTTTAGAAAATTCTCTTCTGTAGTAGATTGGTATGTTTGAATATTCTTAATTTCTCTTTCCATCATTTGTCTAGCAGCAGTAGATTCTTGTAATGTTGTTTCAAGATTAATTTTTTCATTTTTAACTGTTTCTATTATTTGAAGAAATGTGTCTTGTTCAGTTTTTGCCAATCTTTCTTTCTCTTTTAGCTGCATTATCTCTAGCTGGTTTTCTTTTAGTTCATTTTCAAGTGAGCTTTTTTCTTTTAGAAGCTGGTATGTTTTTTCCTCTAACATTTCCTTTTCATCTTGTAGCAATAGAATATTTGTTTTCATTGATTCCATTTCTATACTCATTCGATTATTTTCATTATTGACAATGGCTAAATCATTTTGAGTTTTGTGTTCCTTACCTTTTAGTTGATCAAATGTTTCTATCATTTGTTGCTTCTCCAAAGAAAGTTGACTATTTTTTTCCTCTAGAGTTTTATTTTGTCCTTGGAGAATATTATATTTACTAATTATTTTTTTCAATTCTTTAAGACATTCTTTGCCATCTTCTTCTGTTTTAATTAATTTGGACTGAATAATGTTCTTTTCTTCAACCAGATTCTTAAGTTGTTTTTCATATATTTCAATTTTCTGTATCAGAGATTGTGTGGTAAAGACAAGAGGTTTTATTTTGATCTTAAGGGTTAGATTTTCATTCTCTAGTTCTGTTACTTTTTTCTGTATCTGCATAGATTCTTTTAGATAATTCTGCAAGTACTGGATTTTTGCAACACACTGCTCAGTAACAGAATTGACTTTGGATGTTTTGTCATTTTCAGATATTACCGATCCTTGTTTTACTACAAATGGTTGCCTTTCTTTGTCTTTCATTTCATATTTTGCTGGATCAAAGAATGAAAGTGTATGTCTTGGAACTCTGGAATGGAATTTTAAATCTGTAATATTCTTGCCAGTGATAGGAATTTCTTTATTGTTTTTCTCATTCTTCTTTCCCCTGTGTGTTTCACTCTTAGATAATTTTTTACATTTCCTACAAAAATTCACATGAAATTTTGACACTGTTTCCCTGAGTGGGAGTAATTTGTTTACTAATGCCTCTAATTCGGAAATTCTCTTTGATTTTATATCTTCATTTAAGTTACTTTCTATATTTTCTTCCTTTATAAAGTTAATTTTTTCCTTGTGAATGGGAGACAGGTCATAGTTACTATTACTTTGAACATCTGTATCAATTTTTAAAGTTTGAAGTTCATTAGTAAGTGCTAGTTCTCTGTCGTGTGACTTTTGAAGCTCCTCCTTCATTTGTTTTATAGAATGGCAAATATCATCTAAATTTTCACAAAATCCATGCTCAAGAACAGGCATAGTAATTTTGGATTTATCCAGAATTACTGTATCAGCTTGAGACATCACATTTTGAGGTGCATTAGACAGAAAATTATAAAGGTTATTATAGTTCTTCAACACGTCAGAATTTTCTGAAGGGTTCATAATTACATTTGAAGCTGAATTATCTGTTGACGTTCTTAGAGTTAATATGTCCTTGAAATGTATCTGAGATGGAATATTTATACCTTGAGAGGAGCTGTTAACACTATCGCTACTGAGTTTTTCTTCCATTGAATGAAGAGTCTTGGAATCCTCTAAATGATGAATTTTCTCCATAGAAAGGATTTCTTCGTGATTGTTTATAGGCTAGTAACAATAAAAAGCACACTATAAATGTACTATCATTAGCCACATGACCAGCAAATTAAGAAAATATTTTGTGGAGGGTTTATTTTTGCAACCAAATGAACATTTTATTCATTTATACAGAAAGGAAGCCTAACAAGTATGATTCATTTTCTCCAGAAAATCTAATAAACAGTTGAGATCTGTAATCCTGGTTTTCACAATTTGCTTAGAGATTGTACTTATTTCCTTAGAGGGTGAGATACATGGGCCAACCTCTCAATTTCAGAAATAGAAATTTAACATCCCTCAAGAGACCATCATAGACAGGTGGAAAAGACAGAAGCAATGGGTTAAATGGAAGTTTAAGGAAAATGAATATTTCCACTTCTGGGCTATTTATCAACCTTAGCTTGCGTACCCAGTTTCAGCTGAATCTAGGGCTGTGACTATCCTGGAAATGTGAGTTCTAATCAGTATAGACACAGTGGCTCTGATTTGGATCTATTCTAGGCAATTCATTCCAGGTCTAGGTCAATCCTAAAAGTAGAAAAATTTTTAAGTGGACAGATAGGCTATAGAAACTTTCTTGTATTTCATTAATTTGGAAATCTGGATATCCGGACAGAGTCAAATACCCCTCCCAAGCTCTCCGTAGGGAAATGTGATGTAGAAGTACGGAGGTAAATGCACTTCTTTTAGGGTTTTCAAAACAAGAATTTCCTTATTTTCATCTCTGACAGTCCAATCACCATGTGAAGAAGAGAAAAATATAAAGTTGAAGATAAACTGGTTGTAGTAACATTTTTAAAGTATCTAAATGTAGAATGATTTTGTACATAATAACGTACCTTTTCAATATGTGTGTTGAATACTAGATTTTTTTCTGAGCTAAATTGTGGGTTTTCTACTTCAATAATACTTTTGTTCAGTATTTCACTGATTTCAGACTGTACCTTTAAAAGATAAATTGAGAACGTTAGAATCTTATTTCAGATGTATAAACTTATGAATGTACAGGAGTAATAGATATTATAATTAAAAGATACCTTTAAATTTCCTGCACATAAAATTCTTTCCCATCACATAAAATATAAATTAAACTTAATTTATTGTTATCTCTATAATTAAAGGAATCTTTAAAAATTATGCCTTTATTATGTGATTATAAAATCAGAACAAATTTAGGAAAATGGTAAAATCGCATGAAGTATACTCAAATAATTTTAGATGTTCATTTTTTACATTATTGAATACATCAGAGACCTTTGATCTCTGACATCAGAATGGAATCTATTCGGTCACCCTCAGGAGTTTATCTTCTCTTCCCATTTCCCTGCAGTTGCTTTTAGTATAAGAATATTGAGATGACTTTATATCGGGTCTTTAGTGAATATGTATTGTGTTATGCACCCCTAATATTCATACCCTAACCACCTCTTAACATTACCCTGTATTTCTTCTGGATAAAGTCCATGTGCTTTTGGTAATACTGATCCCACTTCTAGCTCCAAGGGTGGCAGGTAACTCAGAGGTAACCAATCAGAGCATTGCCTCCCTTTGAACAGTGATTGATTCAAGCATTGCATATGACCCAATCAGGAGCAATCAGAATCAGGCCAAGTAAACTGCAAAGAGATAAAAGCACGGTCTCATCTCTGTCTGACTGGAATCTGGAAGGATCAAGGCCTGGAATTTCTAGCGGCCTTTTCGCCACCATGTGGAGTCTGAGAATCCATTACGGTGGAAAGCAGAACGAAAAGCAGTACGATTAGCTCCTTGATGACATGAGTCCTGATCACTTAGAGCAAGCCATGTCCAGGTGAAAATCTCTAGGATTTTCAGTTACTTGAGCTAATAAAGTACACTTTTCCTTTAGTTTGGGTTGGATTTTATATCACTTGTAATGAGGGTCCCTATTTGTAGACTATATATAGGTAACACTATAAATGTATGAAAAAAAAATCAGTGAGTGCTATTTTGTCTCAAATCCAAATATAACAGAATATAGGTTTCTCTAAATTTTGAGCCTAGAAAATGTTGTGCCCTCTATCACATTACATTCTATACTAACTAATCAATTGGTCAGTGACCATCAGATTAGAAATGTGGAGTGATATCTCAAATTTAGATATTTCTTATGTATAGATTAAATGAAACATACCATGCTGACATTTTGCAAAGTCTGTATTCGGAGAGCCTGAAATGATTCCAATTGATGCTGAAGGGCCTATAACAAAATTAAACAAAGCATGGGATTGAGTATTTTTAGGTAAGTGAATATATACTTGCCTTGATTTTATTTTTTATTTTTTATTCCCAAAGTTGCCATTTACCAGAAAAGATCCCATGAGGGTTGGGTGACTCACATTCTTAGTCATTATTGCTAACTCTCCAGTGCATTTTCATGAAGATTTTGGTGGAAAACCCAATACATATAGGAAGCATTTATTTTGAAAAAGATTTATTCTGAAAACTTTACATGAGTTTTCAGAAGCTGCAAAATGAAACATACTCACTTTTAATGCTGACTGTGGTTGAATTTGATTTTCTGATTCTGATATGCAGCCATGTTCTAAAAAGAAAAATTGAATAACCATGTGTTTTAATTTTTAACTTTTATTTTAAAACAACTGTAATGGAAAGCAGCCTTACAATTTTCTTGGGTAGTAAGACCAAGACAATGAAAATCTTGATTAGGAAGAACGTAATACTAGTCACATAATACGTTTAAGAACTAATTCTCACTTGACTTAAAATACCTACTTGAGGTCGGAATAGTGGTTTTACTTTTATAATAAACCACTAACTTGTAACATCAAACTTGGAACTCCCCCAAATTCAAATATCTTTGTTTCTGGAATATAAACTACATTTTTTGAGGGTACAAAATAATCCTTATGTTATGGGGAACCCTTGACAAACTACTGTATAGGTGTGATATTTTTCCTTCTTAACATGAAAAACAAATTGGATTAACAGAGCATAATTTTTGTCATGCTCTTAAGAAAGAACAGTAAAAACTTGTGAGTTCCTTCCTAGAAAGTAGACTATAGACCTGTAGCAGAAGAGAGACTATGTCATGTTTGCAAATTTCCTGACATTCGGACTTCTTTGTCCAAACGTTTGGCTACTTGCTGGCTTTGCAAATTTTTATTAAAGAATTTAAAAACACTTAGTGTCTTGAATGAAGTGAGAGTTAGGATAGAATGTGCCCCTAGGCTGGTAATTTCTGCCCTAAGAGAAGATTTTGAAAGAGGTCAGCATATCTTCTCTTTTGGAATGACGGTCTGCCAGATTGCCAGATGTTTGAGAAACTGGTTGCAAAATATAATCATCCCCTTCTCCCCACCACTATCTGGCTCTCATCACTGGCAGGTTTCAGACCCTGGAGCAATTTAGCCAATTGACAAATCCCACTTTTATCAGGGGGCAGGGAGGGACAGCAAGTTGATCTGAGTATTGCTTAGCTTTGTATCTTTCTGAGAATAAAATGAGAGTCTAAAATGGTCATCTGAGAGAGATAAAAAGGAACACAAGTGAGGTCTGGACCAGTGCAGCAAAACTTCCTCAAGTTTTTCAGATTCTAAAACAACCTCTTCTAATGAATTCAAATAGATCAAAATGCAAATCAAAAAGAATATATCACCTAGAATTCCACCACCCAGGACTAACTGTTGTTAATTTATGTACCTGCCCTTCCCTATACATATATATGGAAAAGCTAGAAATGATTTTAGAACACTGAGATCATATTATACATGCTACTCTTAAATAAATAGTATTAAATTTACATTTACTTTAATAGAATAAAAACTGCAAACATTGGTAGTATTCAGATTGTTTTCACTACATGAGAAATTATTTCCTATGAGATCATTCTAATGAAAGTATATCATGAAAAGGATTAAGAGATTGAAATTTTAATGTTTTTCAATAACATACATTTCTATTATATTCAGTGTTGATTTACTCCCTGCCAAGAAAGAGAGTAAATTATGAGAAAATTAGCATTATACTTCCTCCTACACAGCTATTCCTCACTGTTCATGATATTTGCTAGTTATATTATTTTCACACTGTGAAGTTTTATGATGTTTAATTTTGTTCTGTAACCACAATTCCCACAAAGCTATTTAACACAAGGACAGGATATTATTATTGTAAATATTTTTAGCCTTTAATTTTATTCTTAATGGATTTACTGTTCAAAATTCCATCTCCTTCCTGCACCTGCAGCAACAGTCTCCCTTTTCTTCACAGATTCCCTTTGTCTCACTAAGAGGACTTGTAAGTTCAAGGCTAAATACATAATTCCTTTTGCTAAAGCCGGGTAAGAAATATAGGGCCAAAAGAAATCTAGACTTAGTCAAGGGATATAGTAAATGAAAGATTTAAAAGAAATAACATGGGATTTATACACCCCTTTTACATATATTTCTCTCACTCCATCTCTTCCTTCTCTTTTGACCACAGTGTGTTTGCATTTGCTACGCTGCTTCTTTTCATATGGCTCATGTGCAACCTGAGCAACTCTGCTCAAAATTTCTATTTTCTCTTGACATCCTTCCCTGAGTCCCATTGGTTTAACCCTCCGAGGTACCATTTCAGAACCAGAGTATTTTACTACACATTTTTCTGCGGCTTCAAAAATAGGTGAGAGAAAACGGTGCCTGGTGGAATAGGGTGCATATTGGAAGAGATGTTGAAGGTCAAGAAGGGTTTTTTTTTTTTTTTTTTAACCATGGGAGATTCTAACATGCCTGCTTGCTGCTGGAATCCTGTAGGAGAAAAGGAGAAGAAAAAGAATTCTGAAGAATGAGGGAGGCTAATTGCAGAAGCTCAGTATTTGAAAATTTCAGGAGAGATAGGATCTGGA